ATCAGCATTTGAAAAAGACGATTTCCATGGAAACTCTATTCCTACCTATAAAATCAAAGGTCGAGAATTTCCCAAAGATTTTCAACAAACAGTTAGATCAATATTCAAACAATGTTTTAGAGTATTTGCACATATTTATTATCATCATTATGAACAAATTTTACATCTTCGAGAAGAAAAACATTTCAATTCTTTGTTTGCACATTTTATGTCTTTTGCTAAAGAATTCAATTTATTGCCAGATAAAAAAGAGTTAGTCCCATTAGAAGAATTGATCACTTATATGGAGAGTAATGGCCGTATTAGTTAAATTAATTTAAAAGCTATGTCTAGAAATTTAAACTTTATATGAATTTTGAGGGAGGGTGTATTTTATTTAGAACTAATTTTACCTAAAATAATAATAATAATTAAAAAAGATTTATTTACTTAATATTTATTTAATTTAATTTTTTATACATTAAAATCGACTGTTGTTGACCTCTTTTGGTAATAATAATAAATTCGTTAGATTAACCAAAAATTTGTTAATTGCTAGGTTCACATAATATTTTTGAGAGTTTATTGGCCTCATCTGGCTTTAGTTGCTATGCGGATTAATCTGGGGTATACACCCACAATTATTTTATACCACTAGTATTTAACATTAATATTAATATTAACATTTTCTTCCTTCTTTCAACCATATTAACACAATTTATCCTATTGTCTCTACAATTAATCAGTTAGATGATAAAAGGAATGGGAAAGAATAAGGGCGTATTGACTAGCACCACTACCATTAGTCACTAATTAAATTAAAAAATTATAATTTCATTATTATTATTTATAGCCCATCGTCATTTTGACCATCGAAACCATAAACAGTACGGCCTTGGTGTTTAAACGCATAGACTTGTTATTAGAAAGAATATGATTAATGGTTAATTAATATGATAAACGTGATCATATAAAATATACAATATAATGCACTGTGAACCAACTTACAAAGATGTAACTGACTTGCATGTATAAGTCACTGCATCCTACCTGAAATGAAAATAAAAAAAATCAAGTTATTATCGCCATAGTTATTTTTGTATTTTTTAATTATTATTCGTCGTCGTCATTTTTTATTACATACACTAATCACATTTTCAATGTATTAATCACATATTCTCCCAAAATTGTTTCTAATTCTAGAATCCTACCTTCCACCCTCTTTACCCTTTCTCTAGTAGAAATTTTTCCTTTGGTAGGACTAGTATTCGAGACGAATGGAAGGTTCTCCAAGTCCGCACTGCGTATTACTTCTGATTTTGCCACTTTATGCATTAGTCCCCTTTAGAGAAGTTTCATATTGAAATTAGCTAAATGTTTCGGAAAATTAAACAAAGATAGTAAACGCTTTAGAAACTTACCAAGGATTAATTCTTGGTTGTCCAAAAAACAACATATAAATTCCACCAATCAATCCTAATTCAAAAATAGTAATGGTAGTTCAAAATTGATTAAATATATTCATCAAGAGGCAACTATCAAATATTTAATATCGACTTTTTAGCTTACCAATAGCACCACCAGCCACTCCCAGAGTCCCAAGAACCGTATACGAACTAATGAATAGGACAAAGAAAAACTAAAGATTATAATAAAATGTTATAGAAACCAAAATTTCAAATTTTGAAATGAGTTGTCAGATTTACCGTTTTTCAGATTGCACTTCGTGGAGAAAACTTCCTGGAGCAACATAAAAGTGACCTGTAAAGGGAAAGCTATCATTTGGATGCATTTGAAAGTATTTCGACACAGTGGTAAAGAAGGGTGTGCTAATGTAATTAGGAGGTAGGCCGAGAATTGTGGAGATGTCGTCGGGTAAAGTGGACAAGGTGGTTTTCTTAAAGAATATCTGAATATTGGTGTAGATTAAATTTAGTAATAATCATCTATTGAAAAGATAATCGGTGAATTAAAATAACTGACCAGAGCCGATACATTTTGTATGCCCGCGAACGTATTCATTTGTTGATCCAATCGTTTTTTTACTGGATTTGTCGGTGATAAATTCTTGAATTCTGTTAAAGCATAATAGTTGATCATATGTTATATCAATAGAATCATAGAATATTTCATGATAGAAGAGATGTAGTACATTAATTAATTACCTTTATCCATTATTTTGCCTGTAATAGTTCCCACGGATAAAAAATGCTCGATAACGGCGGAAATATTAAGAATTTTGAAATAAAAATCAATGCCCCCTACCGACAACCCTTCAGAGATTTTTTCCGAGTCACTGAAAAAATAACTACTGTTAGCTCGAAGAGTATAGCAATGCTTAACCCCATCCTGATCCACTGTCGTGACTTTTTCAGATTCAAATATTTTGCTTTCCGGGCTACAGCCGTCAGTGGAATTTTCGTTATTATTCCAATGGAAAATGCATTTAGATATTTCGATATCACTGTGATCACCACAGAGTTCAATTTCTTTGTGAGAGTATAAATATAAATAAAGAACCTGTTAGATTGAAAAGTTTTTGAGAATTTTAACACCTCGCTCGCTAACATACCAGGAATGCTGAGTTTGTCCAAATACTCATAAGTTATTTGTATCAATGGTTTGTCGTTGATGATTCGATATATGAGAAATGCCAGGTAGCCCATATAAAGAAGGATTACGATACTAGCTGTCACCCATCTCAAACATTGAAATTTCTTTGATTCCGGGAACTGTGAATTAATTAATTACGTATAAAGGTGAATCTTTAAACAGGCGTTTTTCGTAGAATATAAATCAACTATTTAAGACTCTTAACTATTTTCCGACTGGATCTGAAAACGAAAAGCATTTTTAGAGAAAAGTAGAATTAGGATTTGTTCTTTTCTAGAGTGAAATTACTTATGAAAATAATCAAGAAATCGACAACTTTGAATATTGCTAGATTTTTGTTTTTTAAAAAAATAATAATGAATGTAGCGCATTTTATCTCTACGAACTCCGATATTAATATATCTAAAATCAAATCTTTTGTCTTCTATAATAAATAATAATTTATTTGATAGGTGATCATTGAAATGTAATTTCCATTTATATTAATATGTTTATTTTTTAAAATTCCAAATAATAAATAAATTCCGAGTTCTTAAAACGATTATTCCTATTGTTAAACATCATTCAAAAGACTATTTCCGGGGTGTAACGCCAATTTTTAATAGTAATATAAATATTTGTCAAATATCGATTCATCCATCTCCAATAGGGGCTTCCGATTATGACACTGGAGTGGTATTAATATGGAAAAAATGAGGTAAGAATTCAATATTAATTTTATTGAAATACTAAAATTGGTAAATGATAATCATTAAACTTTTTGATCTCCAAATTTAACAATTATCTACCAAATATAGCAAATCTTAATAACATTGAATGAATCAACGAATGGTTTTGATTTACGTTCAAGAGTCAAAACTTGTTTATTAAGTCGAACTTATTCGAATTTATTAAAATTACATTGTTAACATTTTTATTGTTCTGCACTACGGCAAACAATTGAACAAAATGTATTAACATTTAAAGAAACCTGCATAAAAAAAAATAAAGCATGGAACAATCCTCCAAAAAAGGAAAGAGCTTTATTATTATTATTATAATATAAATTATTCAAAAAAATTTCTTGGCTGCCAAGCGCTTTACAAGAATTTATTTGTGACTGCATCAAAGGTAAAATACCTTAATTGACCTCGCTTCTGAATGAATGAATACCGTTAACGAGAAAATCGAGGTTTAGAATCGAAGAAACAGTTGACACGAAACATTTACGGAGGGATGAAAACCGGATGGGTTAGTGATGTTCTGTCCTTTCTTTATGTTTCTTTGGGGTTGGAGCGGACTTCGTCCGCAGAGATTAAAACAAAAAGATGGAAACTTCTTAATATTCGAGTTACATAAACACAAATTGGTGTTTGGAATCCCGCGACTAATGTTGATTGGTATTTTGTCAATACCTTGTCCATTGCAAAATCTTTTCAAACATTTTCTTGATTGTGGTCATGGCCCCTGCTTTGTTAGCAGTTGTCAAAGCTGGCTAGATTTTCTCTATTTGTAAATAAACCCAGGCAGGTCTTTAGTGAAGAATCGTATCACAAGAGTTGAATATAACGATTACATGATAATAAAATAATATTGTGTGAAATAAGTCCTTACTTACTGGGACGTAAGATGCTCTAATTAATCAATAACAAACTTTTTTTTAAAAAATAAAATATATATAAAATAAAAATTCTATCAGAGCCTTCAACTAAAGATACAAACATAGAACCAAGGGAAATTATAAAAAATGTATCAAGATTTTAAGTTATAGAGAGTTTTTTTCTTGCCAAACAAAAAAATTTTTTTTTATATGTTCTAAAGAAATTGAAAAAAGACTGCTAATAGAAAAACTTTATAACCAAACGAGATAGGGGAAAAAACTCTATAGATTCATTATAGAAGACTTAAGCAATAAGACTATAAAAAAATTTTGTTTAATTTTATTATGAAAAACAAAAAGTCAATTATTATTAAATTTTACCATAAAAATTTACATTGTAACTGATAAATTAATAGAAATTTCTTTTTTATAATTTATATTTTCAAAAAAATATATTGTTAGTTGAATTTTGTTGTCAACATTTACAATATGATAAAGATACTAAAAAAAATCCGCACATAATAATTTGTTATATTGACGTAACATATGTTTGATGATCAACAGCCATCGAACACCACACTTACGTCCTCTACACTTTTTACTAAAATCTCACGAGTGGTTTAATTCAATAGCGCAATACCAAAAGGAAGGAAAGAAATTCTGGAACTGTTAACACAATTCCTTGATATAAATTTGAAGTCTATGTGCGAGGAGTTTATTAAATGGGGACATTCTATTAGAATATCAAAAACTTGTATGACGAACCGTACTGCTTCTTCCACTTCTCAGAATGTTAGGGATGGGACGGTTCCGTTAAGGAGCCGCTCTGTTAGATGATCTTTCCTTTTAAGGAAAGATATTTGAATATATCACGTGAAATTTTTTCTTACAATTTTTTATTAATTCGCAATTCGTGATAAACGGAAAGGATCGACATACATTTTAATATATAGTAAAATGCGGGGGATATTAAACATAATAAAATTACTTAGTAAAAATAATATTGAGCTGATTTTAATTTTTAAAAATTTTAAAATGACTAAACATCCCAATTTTACTGTAAATCTCATTTCATTAGGCCAAATAAAGCCACACTTGCACTATGACATAGATTCTAGAGAATGGTGGGTTATGAAGCATAAAAGTAAACCAGAAGAAGGTGCGTTACTTTATCCAAGGAGAGTTGGTTGGGAAACTAGCATAGAACAAAATGGCAGACAATACTATACATGCATTACTGAAGGCAATGAAACTAGTAATTTACTACCAGGATATAGATGTCGTTCTGGGTGCAAGTTTAGTGATATAGAAGAAGCACCTAGTAATGCAATAACAAGCTTATATAAAAGGCTAAATCCTAATTCAAATACAAATTTTTCTGGTCCTTTGGTTTTAGGTTGGGATAACAAAGAAATATTGGAAGCTTCACTGAAGGATATAGATTTTCAACCCTTTGCTATAAAGTTTGACAAATTTTTAATATATATTATAGATATTGGCATGGGAGAAGAGAGTGATTTTGGTGTCAAAATTGATTATACTTCTTCATTTATAGGTGAATATAATAGAACACGTGCTTTGTTTATTCAAACTGTTGAATATGATCATTGCAAAATTTCTATATATGTGGATAATATTGAATCACCAGTGTTTTTCTTTGGATTTACACCATCAGAAGTATGGGAAAATACAAAGATTTATAAAAAATTCACTGGAATGCAGTTGTTTGGGTTCGAACATCCAATGACCAAACAAAATATACAAATTGGTAAAATTCCTAAATGCACACCTATATCTTGGAATAACGAAAAAATTATGGATGCTATTTTCAATTATAATTTGAAAAAAAGAGTTCCTAATATTGACTGGAGAAGAGTTTTTCAATCTTGGCTAGATCAAAAAAGCACAATTATTGAACTGCATGGAAAATTAAAAAATTTATATCCATACAATCATGAATTTAGTGAACGTGAAATGAGAGCATGGCGTGCAATGTTGAGGGCTACCAGATGTACAGAAATCACACCAGTTTCAATAGACAAGTTAGAGGTAATTTTTATTCAGTTTTTTATTCTAAATTCATAATTTTCAAGATTTGCATGAGTATTTTTAATTTCTTCATTTTCACTGGAATCAATTTCTTAAAAAACTAATGCAAAATCATCTTGAGCCAGGATTTAAAATCATCTTAAAATTAAAAATATTTTATCATTGATTTGAACTAATACAAAATTTTTTGATGAATTTAAGCATGAATTTTGGTCTCGAAGCTTTGATCCATCAGTTGATCAAGATACCTTGGAGGTTTTAAATAGTAATGGCTTTTTGAATGTGAAAAAAAAAATAGATTTCACTATAGCTGATATTTTTTGGGAATGTTTTAATAAATCATTGGAACAAAACAAAACAGGCTATGATGGTAAAATAAGAATATTGTCAATAATTGCAAGCGAATTTCAATACGAAGAACTTCAAAGAAAACTCAAGGTAAGTATATTTTAATATGCATATTTGAACTACATTTCATCATTGCTTTGTATCAATGGTGACATTGAACAATGTTGATGGCCCAATGGATTAATGAATTAATGATGGTTGTTATAATTAAAGAGTTCTCCAAAATATTTAAATTCCTCAGATTTTATAATCTAGATGATAGTTTTTTATTAGAAATAATTTTTGATTTAAAATTTTGAGTAATATCATTAAGATTAAATATTGTTTAATAACATCATACTTTGATGTTGATTATTTACAATAAAGTATATCCAATAAAATTGTTTTTCCATTGAATTTTAAATTGAATCCTTGTTATTTCATTAAAAAAAAAAATCATCATTAGTCTCAAAATCTATTAAGTTCATTAAGATGTACATAAACATCATAACATTCTTTCTTGATAGTAATGCCGTTAATGATTAAATTGCAACAATTTATACTTCTCTGAATAAAATAGGTGTCATCTAAAACAATATCCAAAGCAAGATTGCATTCCAAAGTTAATGGTCCAGGATGTGCAGGAGTTGAAAAACCAATAATTACAAGAGTTTGAATTACTGAAGAAGCTAAAAGACAATTTGAAATTTTTTTTGCTGACAAAAATATTGTCAATTTAAGTTCTTATAGAGTAAATGAAAAAACTGGTGATCCTGTAAAATATTTGAAAGATCAAAAAGAAACATTGTGGAGAAAATACTTTGAACTACATCCATCTGGAATGAAAAGGACATCATTTTTAAAACGCTTGAATGATGGTTCTTTTGTATATAAGGAAGATATGGGAGGTTTGTGTGGCATTTGTTTTGAGTATGGGTATGGTGTATTTGATGATGTGAAAATCCTAATATCAGGGAGAATAAATGAAAAAGATCATCAGGTGAGTAAATGCTTTATAATAGTTATATTTAACAATTAAATACTGAAATAATTTCATATATTGTTAGAATCAATTAATTGCAGAACTTGAATCAATCCAACGTCATTTAAAATGTGAATATGAAAAAGAACTTGAAGTGGATTGCCTAGGAAATACTTATCATGTTGAATGTCTTGAGCATTGTCTTCCATATGCTTTTGGACAATATGCCAATCCCCATATTTCTAACTGTAACCAATGCAATAAGATATCAAAATGGTTTCATCAACTAATGCAGGTTATGCCAAATGATTTAGAACAAATTATTAATAACAGAAATAAGCTTCAATATTATTGGTCACACCAGACAAGAAAGACATACCTTAATGCTCAATTTAATGCTAACTTGCTTCCTCTTGATGAGGAGGGTGCAATCATTGTAGTTGATTATAAAATGAAGATTTTACCACAGTCAGCTTGTGAAGCAAAATCTGATTTTTATGGGAAATCTGGATGGACTCTACATTCAATGTTAGTTTACACCAAACATAACAATGATTTAGAAATTCAAGCTTTTGATCACTGGTCCTCAGATACAGCCCAAGATGCTTGGTTTACTGCCTCATGTTTTGAAGTTGTATTCAACACCCTTGAAAAAAAACCAAAATGGATAAAAATTCTATCTGATAATGGTGCACATTATCATTGCTCCGAATTGATGGCTATGATTGCAAATTGGAAAATTTGGTATGAGGTGGATGTTCATAGTTGGACCTTTTTGGAAGCAGGGGAAGCCAAAACAACAATAGATTCACATCATGCTCAGGGTTATAATTAATTGCTAATAATAAATTTATTATAAATAAATTAATTACTTATCTTTCCCTTAATTCCACAGGTATCACATGCAATTAAAAGATATGTTAGGCTTGGACATAATATATCTGAAGGACAAGATATAGTAGAAGCTGCCAAAGAGATTAATGGAACATCAATTGCAAATATTGAGCCTGATTGTAAGCACAAAGAAGAAAAAAAACCTATAATTCCTGGAATTTCAAATTGGTTTGAATTCCAATGGCCAGTTGAAGGAGAGTTTTCTGGTTTTGTTCGTGGTAGAGCTCTTCCAAATTTTGGAAAATGGAATGATTTCTCTCCTGAAAACATTCGTAAATCAATGAAGGGAGGCGAACAACATAGGCCAAATCCTCAAATTTCCACACATACTGACTCCCAGGCTCAATGGATAACACCAACGCCATCAACAGGTTTGAATTAGTAATTTCTTCTAAATAAAACAATAAATAAAAAAAAGTTTTTATTTTCCATATTCAAATATATTAAAATACATCATTATTAAAATCTATGTCTCAAATTACCACTTATTTTTTAGAACCAGGTATGGGATTGGATAAATTAAAGAAAGATGATATTAAAAAAATGTTGGATCAAAGAGGCCTAAATTATGA